ATGATCTTCAGTGAAGGTAGTTTGTTTTAAATTAAATATTGATGTATTGTTTGCTTTATAATTGCTTTAGAAACTGATCGTTGCGCATAATGAAAAAGACAGCAAATAATTTGGGTCTATATTTATTGATTACCCTTTTATATTATATTAAAATTTTTAAATAAAGAGGAAAGCAAAATTATTTGCATGTGAGAATTTGAAATCATTTTATTTCAAACTCAAAAATACTGAAAAGGCAATTTAGTTTTAGGAACATTTCAAAACATTTTGTGAAGCGTTTCTGGTTGAATTTTACATTAAATTCAAGGTTATATTACGTTTAATAATTTACATAAAAAATTTCTCAATTCTGATTGGCTAACAGCAGTACGTGTAATTTTTTCGAAATACAGTGTATAAAAGTGACGTACAGTGCAAAAAATCAAATAGTACAGTACAAAAAGTGAAAATATTAAAAAAAGACAACTTGCGAGTGACAAAATTTTTTAATAAAGTTGTTTATATTAAATTCAAAAACGCATTAATAATTCATGCATGAAGCAATTGTCCAATCTTGAGTAAGAAATTAGTCACGTGCATACGTCTTTATATCAGCTAAAGAACACTTTAACAAAAGACCATTGTTATGCAAACTATATAAAGATTTTTATATAAAGATTTTTATATAAAGATTTTTATATAAAGATTTTTATATAAAGATTTTTATATAAAGATTTGACTTATTATGCAAACGTTTTTGAAGCCATTTAAAAAACTCGCAGGTCGTGTTTTATTATAGGTCTAAAGTCACTCGTGCTGCGCGCTCGTGACTTTAAACCTAATAAAACACTCCTGCTCGTTTTTTAAATAGTACATTATCTATTTCGCATGTCACTGACCAGCTGTACGCAAGGATTTGACTGTAAAATTATTTCAAGTATATTAATATTAATAAGTAATAGTACGCTTTCTCGTTGAATTTTTTAGAAAAAAAAAACACTCGAGAGCCGGTTTACAAAAACTCGTCCTTCTGACTCCGCGTGTAATTTTGATCGTCTTTGAAAAACTCACTCGTGAATGTTTTTCCCAAATTGCACTCGAAACCATACTATTACCTAAACTAATAATATACATAAGATATTACTCGACTGTGATTGGTTGATTTCAGTGCAGTTAATCGCAAAGAGCAGTGCAATTTTTCTTTAATCACAGTGCAATTTTCTGTAATCACAGTGCAATTTTCTGTAATCACAGTGCAATTTTTTGTAATCACAGTGCAATTTTCCGTAAATCACAGTGCAATTTTTTGTAATCACAGTGCAATTTTCTGTAATCACAGTGCAATTTTCTGTAATCACAGTGCAATTTTCTGTAATCACAGTGCAATTTTTTGTAATCACAGTGCAAGATTATCTTGATATTATCAAGCTGGAGCAAGCGATGCGAACGCATCCTGATATCGGCTTGATGATCGCAAGTTGCATCAAGTCTGCAGCAGACCTGCTGCAACTTGCGCGTTTCTGGCTGTGTACGCATCTTCTATTTTTTCAATTTTTATGTAAATTATTAATAAGTATTGGGTAAGCATGGTTTCTCGTGAAATTTGGATAAACATACACTCATGAGTTTTTCAAAGACCTCAAATAGCACTCGTCCTTCGGACTCGTGCTATTTTGAGGTCTTTGAAAAACTCACTCGTGCATGTTATATCCAAATTGCACTCGAAACCGTGCTATTACCTATACTAATAACGTATAATAACATACCTAACATATATATGTTTGGGAAATTGAAAATTAATTTGTAATTAAAAGTGATATTCAAGAGGATTTTCTTACCATGTCAAGTACTTTAAATACTTCATGTTCGGAAAATAAATGGTTTCGTCAGCAATGCAAGGATTTCTGCATGCATGTATTTCTAAACATATAACTAGTACTCGATTTGGGTAACCCTCTATACATGTATATTGCATGTACTCCACCCCCAGAGCATTAGCGAAGTCTAAAGTGGTGTCACTGAGGGCATAGTGTATGGGTGGACCTTCTCATTGATCTCAAAAACATGGCTGCTTGCCAGAGTGGGATTAGCAAGATTTCAATTTTCAAAGATATATATTTGGAAAATGGTTTCATATACAACGAGCTTTGAAGCAATTTTTGTTCGAAGAAATGAGAAGAATTGATTTACCATGAGAAATCGTGAAATATATGGCAAGTTTGCCGGCTTTGAATGCCTTAACTGTTTATGAATTCTATATTAAATGTATTTTATAATAATGACAAATTGTATTTAATTAGTTAATAATGACAAAGTGATTAATATAATTATTTAGTTTAGTTTAATTTTACAGAGACTTTAAAAAATTCCGTAACTGGAAATGTTAGTTCTTCAACATTTTTTTTGCCTTAAATTTCATACAAATAACACAGTTATTCAGCTTTCATTCAAAGGCTTTCAGAGTTTCCCTCATGACCCCTAGTGTCCACCACTGGTGATGAGCATCCTAACAACTTCTTTCAATTTTGTGCTGTACATACATTCAGTATTAAGTAATGTGTCAACATCTTGGAAACTAACCTCTGAATCTCTTACATGCAGTTGACATTATTTTTATAGTGCTAGATTTCGGAAGGTTTAATTAGTCACCATAGGCACAGTAAGAAAGTTTTGAAATTTAAAATTGAGGAGCACTTCATGTCAACAGCACCAAATTTATAATTTGGAAACTTTTGAAGAGAAATTGGGCAAGGCGGGGGTGGTGCATGCAAGCATCAGGGGTGGGGGGGGGCTGTAGCTCCCCTATGTGGAAATTCTAGCCCCTCCCCAATCAGGGAAGTGCAATATACTGGGAAGAATTATGTTTTGTAGTGCTGATAAATGCACTGTTACAGGCTGTTACAGACAATAAATTCTGCACGATTTCATGTGTGAGCATAAGTTGAACATACAAAACAATAATTTTACTGTACTGTTTGAAAGATTATAGCCCCCAACCTCGTTCCCAGGGTCTCTCCTTCTGTCATCTGGGAGAGACCCTGGCTGCGGCTGGTCACGTGCCTCCCAGATTCTGGGAGGTAAATTTAATTGTAACTGTGAGAGGGGTGGGAAAGGAGCGTGTTTGTAGCGTGTTAAAATTGTAACTTTGGGTGATGAAATTTACTGTAAATTTGGAACAAGAAATCATAAAGAGAACTCTTAAAGTAATATTTATATCGTGACGCTCTACTCTATAATCTGATGTCGAGTTACAATTCAAGCAAGTTGGATCAGATTTCAATATTCAACTTAGAGACTTGCCAAAGAAAGCACGCTTGCCACTTGTGCAGCGTGGCCATATTAAACCTACAAGAAAATATAAATCTCTAGACCGAACAGTGTGGTTGTTATTTATTCAGTATTAATGTCTATCCTGATACTCGGACCAAAAGAATTTATTTATTGATGAGATGTGGAATTGCAACGAAATAGCGAGATCTTTTGATTTCCGAAATATCGCCCACTGTATCCAGATTGTTGATCTATATAAAGGTCTTATAAAAAAAACTTAAAGCTCGTCAAAACACTATAAAATTGGCCCTTTGGCATTGCTGAAACCAACGATCATGGTATATGTCAAAGTATAGCTGTCTGTTGAAAGTCTACGGTATTAAAATCATACACCAAAGATATTAAGTCAAACGACAAATTATATGTCACTATATTATACATGTCTTTCAATGAGCACTGTTTAGTAGTGTTCACCACATGAATAAACTTTAATTTTTTGCTGTATATGCATTCTTAATAATACAAGTGAGATTTAAATTTTTGCTTTGACTTTGTGAAATAGAATACCGTTATTTTTTAATGGACAGCTTGCATCGTCTATATCATATCCAGGATTGCTTGCGTGTAAACGTATTATTCAGTATATGACACTATCAAATAAATATAAGTAGCACTAAATGATTAATGAATTAGAGATAAACAGGTGATTCACAATGAAAACTTTAAAAATGTTAGTAGAAGTAGGCTAGAAAACTCGAAAATTTATGTCTATTCGTATGACGGTCTGTCCGCATCTGACACTGTAAATTTGTGATATAGATTATAGTATGTTAACACAACATAATGATTAATAAAGACCAAAAAAAGGCTAAAGTCTTACTATAATTACCGAATACGAATTATGTACTAAATCCAGATAAACCAATGACTGAAATTTCCTCTATACTTATAGACATTTCTCTGTTCGGCTATTATCAAATGTTTACATTTGCTAATATTGGGTCAGTCGACTCAGTCCTAGACAATACTGTTTCTTTTACAAATCTTATAAACAAGACGCGTAGTAACAAGTGAATTGGTACAAAGCGTATCAACGTTTACAAGAAAGGACGAATGTAATGGCGTATTTTAAAAACATTACAATATTAAAAGGTTTGTTATAACCGCGCTCGATTGTGAAGAGAGCATGCATTGAATAACAACACGAGAGAGCACGTACTGCGAGTAACGATTTGCTTTGTTTCTTGACTTGACTGTAAGTAAGAATGTAAGAATGTTCTTGTAAATTCAAAGCAAAGAAAATAAACAAAAATTAGCAAGTATTTTGAACGTAATAATTCGAAAAATTTATGTTTTTAACGAATATTCCACTGGAAGCATGTTTATGTAATTTGATACTTTCCCCACACCCCCTCAGGCGCTAAATTTTTGATGAGGCACGTGACCAGCCGCAGCCAGGGTCTTTCCCAAAGAAAGATCCTGGGTACGAGGTTGTATAGCCCCCTGCTGGGAACCTGATATTCCTTGTTGGGGAATTCCTGGAGCCTCTAGCCCCCACACACAAGCACACAGCACACTGGTACCAACACACCTCTATTTCCTACACCACTGCAATACATAAATAAATAAATGGTTTATTCACATATCTTGGCATTAATACAATGAATTATGATATGTTTACATAAATTCAATAAATTATCTAAAATATTAATATCTATATATAATATATAACTAAAATCTATATAATATAGGCCTACAACTAATTAAACTATCACTGAAGTTTATTCCTTAACTCAAAGCACATCGCTGGAATAAAACTATTTTTGTAGCTATTAGTATCCGAAACTTTGGCAGGGACAAACAGTCCTTATTACGCAAAGTCCGTCCGTGCGCGGCCACTCGTGTTGGTGGCAGAAGGTGGTTCAATCGGTTGTTGGGTTTAGCAATCTTCTCAAAGGTTTTCGTACACAAATCGTGTCTCCTAGTGTCTAAGCGAGGGATTTGGGCAATAAAGCTTCCGCATGCGCGAATATTATTTTACTGGGATTACTGTCCGCATTACAATGTCAACTCTACCCCAAACTACACATTGTATCCTTCGATTTATCCATCAATTTGACCAGCTTTCATAAATTGAAACATTTACATGATCCTTTAGTTTACTGATTTGGTCAATCATTAATAAAACATTTAAAGTGCCACTAACCCCCTAAATTTTTTTTTCAAATAATAAATAACCGCTATTTATGGAGTACAAAACTGGAAAATTTTTTTTAATCGGTTGAATTCTCGCAATTCTATGGCTTCCCAAAGTGTGCACACATTTGTTCCACGACCGAGTTTTGGGAGACTGGTGAGAGAGGAATGTGTGACGTCAATTGGTGAACTCATGCGAAGCCTCCTTGTAAACACTATACATTTACCATTACAAAGAAGCTTTAATTTCGAAGAATAATTCGCGGTTTTTTATATCTTTTTGCAATGTCTTCGACGGATGCATCTTCCGAGGCTTCTTCGTTCGCATCAGGGAACGATTATTTATCAGAATATGACAAAATGTAGGGATAGAAG